TAAATAGTAAAATTGATATTTTAGGTGATGAAACCTGTCCTTTGTAGAGAGGTGAGTGTCCTCTCATGGAGGTTCTACAGTACATATTAATTAAAAAATCTATGTCAGTGTAAGAAAAAAAGACATCTCCGGATCTTGCAACTAAATATTGCTGATGGCTTGCGCCATCTTTCGGAATAAATATCAAATGATTGTTGATTTTTAATTATTCCAGAATTGTCCAAATAATATTTCTTGATTCATCAAGAAAAGAAGCACGTACATGTGCATGGGGCAAGCTGTACCTCAATGACCAACAGACTGAAACACATAGGTAGTTAGCTTTTCTTGATTAATCAAGTAATTGTATTTGGCCAATTCTGGAATAATAAAAAATAAAAAATTTGAGTATATTTATTGCACAATTAGGAGATGCCTTATTCATAATTTACCAACCTGATCCCAGTACAATTTCACTTTTGTACTGTTTTATTCAACACAACCTGTATTCCAACCCTAGATTGTGTACTGTTTTATTCAACACAACCTGTATTCCAACCCTAGATTGTGTACTGTTTTATTCAACACAACCTGTATTCCAACCCTAGATTGTGTACTGTTTTATTCAACACAACCTGTATTCCAACCCTAGATTGTGTACTGTTTTATTCAACACAACCTGTATTCCAACCCTAGATTGTGTACTGTTTTATTCAACACAACCTGTATTCCAACTCTAGATTGTGTACTGTTTTACTCAACACAACCTGTATTCCAACCCTAGATTGTGTACTGTTTTATTCAACACAACCTGTATTCCAACCCTAGATTGTGTACTGTTTTATTCAACACAACCTGTATTCCAACCCTAGATTGTGTACTGTTTTATTCAACACAACCTGTATTCCAACCCTAGATTGTGTACTGTTTTACTCAACACAACCTGTATTCCAACCCTAGATTGTGTACTGTTTTATTCAACACAACCTGTATTCCAACCCTAGATTGTGTACTGTTTTACTCAACACAACCTGTATTCCAACCCTAGATTGTGTACTGTTTTATTCAACACAACCTGTATTCCAACCCTAGATTGTGTACTGTTTTACTCAACACAACCTGTATTCCAACCCTAGATTGTGTACTGTTTTACTCAACACAACCTGTATTCCAACCCTAGATTGTGTACTGTTTTACTCAACACAACCTGTATTCCAACCCTAGATTGTGTACTGTTTTACTCAACACAACCTGTATTCCAACCCTAGATTGTGTACTGTTTTACTCAACACAACCTGTATTCCAACCCTAGATTGTGTACTGTTTTACTCAACACAACCTGTATTCCAACCCTAGATTGTGTACTGTTTTACTCAACACAACCTGTATTCCAACCCTAGATTGTGTACTGTTTTACTCAACACAACCTGTATTCCAACCCAAGATTGTGTACTGTTTTACTCAACACAACCTGTATTCCAACCCTAGATTGTGATCTATGAATATAGTCTCCATGACCTTGTATAATTATACAAAGGATAATAGTTTAAAAAAAACACAAATTTTTTCACAATGTTATGATAAGGCACAATTTGGATTATAAACTACACAAGATAATAAGATCAAATCCAAATAAATAAATAGTGTGTGACGTTTTGGTAACAACACTGGTACTGAAATGTCACACACTAATTATTTATTTGGTCTTATTACCTTGTGTTTATAATGTTATTTGTCCATCCAGTTTCCACCTCACTACTATCAGGATGATGAAACAGAGCTATCATCATCAATTCTACCACCATCCCTTCTCCCTTATCTCCACTCAATCATATTAGGGTATCAAGTTGTGACCCTTGATGGTGTCTGTTTGACAACCATCAAGACTGGGTGAAGTAGAATGTCTTTGTCATTAAGACTGGGAGCACTATTCAGTGGCAGGCCACAGACTTAGCGCAAAAATAAATGGCCGCCTCTGACATGAGGAACAGATGCCATGTGCAGCCGCTCCTAACATGGAATACAAACGCTGCTCATCCTGTATCCCTGGAGCCCTTACAGAGTACTATCAGCCGAGCCAGCTGAGCCCAGGTTTTTTAGTGAGCTTGTCACTGCTCCCCCTCCTCCATCTGGGCTTGGGACCGGCAAAGGCGGAGTTCCACCATATGATCAATTATTTCTTTTATTCCTACTTTTTCTTTATACACATCAACTTTTCTAAATTCTCTTAGATAGTAACAAAAAGTCCAAGAAAATAATGGAGCCATTTTATTAAAAATAAAGTTTCTACATTGTTCTTGGAATTTTTGCTATATATAGGTATTAGAGTAGAAGTTTAAACACAAGGTAATAAGACCAAATAAATAAATAGTGTGTGATGTTTCGGTAACAGTGTTGTTACCATCTTCAGACAAAAGTCCTGAATGAGAAATTTTATCACAGCATGTTTTTAAATAGTTACTGTTATCAAGAGTGTAAACAAGATAACAGATAAGAAGAAGTTATTTATCTGAGAAACACAGAATATTATTCTTAGAAACATGCTGTGGTAAAATTTCTCATTCAGTACTTTTGTCTGAAGATGTTAACAACGCTGTTACCGAAACGTCACACACTATTTATTTATAACTATTATTTCTGGCAATGTATTTCTTATGATATTTATTGACAATATTCTCTACAAACAGCAGTAATGCAATGATAGAAATTGGAGATTTGGTGAAACCACTGAAAGGGTTCACCACTGATGAGCCAAGCCCACTCATCTAAAATCATCGCAGTGTAAGAGGTCTGTAAATATAATATTTTTGAAATGATAAGAAATATATTGCCAAAAATAATTGCTAGAAATGGCAAATGAATTAACCTTATGATAAAGCACAATTTGGAATATAGATACAAGAAAATAAGGCCTAATCCAAATAATTTAATAGTGTGTGACGTTTCGGCAACAGCATTGTTACCATCATCAGACAAAAGAATAAAATCATTTTCTTATTATTTTGTCTGATGATGGTAACAACGCTATTGCCGAAACATCACACACCATTTAATTATTTGGATTAGGTCTTATTTTCTTGTATCTGGAATTAACCTTAGTTAAAACAACATTGGTTGGGAAAACATTCTCTGGGCAGAATACCTGGTTCAATTCTATTCTGGTATTTAAGAAATGTTTTGCATGTAAAATAAATATATATTTAGACATACACTCTAACAACTTAGCATATGGCCAAAAGAGGATGACATTTGCTTTGTCTGCGGTCTTTTTATTGGGAAAGGAGTTAAAAATACTCATTACTTTCTGCTGTCAAGATAAGTGGACCAATTTAGTATGCCAATTGGGGACCAAGACTTGGCCACTTCAGTCTTTGCACTAACAGCCTGGAAGCCTGGTACAGAGGTGTAAAGAGAGCTATGAGGTTTGTTATTCCAAGAATTTGGCGAGATCCCACTGACCACTCAAATAACTGCTACTTTTGATTTGCAGACCTTTCTAAACGGCGAAGAGGCAAGAATACACCTGCTATCATTTATCCAGATATTCCTTCATCCATTGTTTTTCTCACTCCTGAGTACCCTATACCTAATTCAGTTCCAAAATCACTTTATTAGGTACCGCTCAACAAGAACAACCTAGTTTATGATATTTGCAACAATGAATAATATGTGATGGTTATTCACATATTAAACAAAATGTTATTGTGGGATTCAATCCTGGTTAATGGCTGTCAGGAATCGAGGGTGTTACCCACTTGTCCACAGAAACTCCCATCTACAACATTACAGAGCAGTAAATCAGAAGATGAAATCAGCTTTGAACACACTTGCTCATTCCTAATGACAATGAAACTATGCAAAATTTCCGACACCTACATCAATGAGAAGTATGTTAATTTAAAAAAATTGTTAATACATTGTCATCATTATTATGTCTTTTCTTGGGTCCTTTTTTTTTTTTTTAACTTATCCTTTTAGTCTAAATTAGACAAGATCTTGGAGGTCGTGCTCATAAAGAAGCTCAAGAACTCTTCTTGGTTCTCTGTACAGGGATCTCTTGTCCTTTCCAATACAATTTAGAATATGTTGGGGAGTGGCCTCTTCGGTTTTGCACCTAGTGCACATGGGGAAGCTTTTGGTTCCCTCTTTAAAGACTAGAGGACGCAGGTGACCAGATTTCCATCTGGCCAACTGTGTCGATTCCCTTCTGTTTAGTTAGAGGGTCTGTTTTTTGGGGTTTTCTACCTGGTACCAAGAATTGTGCCCTTCTTGAATTTTTCAAATGAATAGATGTCCTAGACTCAAAGTTTAAGTGTAAAATGGTGTTTTTCAATTGTGCATGTCCTCATACAACAGAAAAACACACAAAAAAAGAATAATACAAAAAGACAAAAATTATAAAACATAATAAATAAAAATAGGAAAGGTTAGTGGTGCTTGGAGTTCCATGGGGTCCAGCTACCATAAAATATCCTTTGCCCTGAAAATAAGTAAATAAAATAAAACTGCAGGAGTCATGTATGATAAAAGGTGGTCCCAGTTGCTGGTACTTACTGAACTCCTCCACCTTGTAGAACATCATTGAAGTGATGAGACAGTTTTGTCTCTTCTAATATCCCAAACAGTTAATTTCAATCAATATAAGTCTTTTCATGTTGTAAATATAAAACTGCTCCCATGCATGAACCTATAAGGTTGGTAAATATGATAGAAAAACAAGAGATTTCCAATAAAAATAACCCCATAGACATGCTCAAGACCATTTCAAATACAATATACCCTATAATATTGAGTGTGCATTATAGCTGATCCAACTTAAAAACAGTAACATATAAAATACAATATAATACACTGCGGCATGTAATTGTAAAACGACACTTGCAAATTTAACCGCTTGAGTTTCTTTTCAACGACAAATTAAAATTTTATTTTAAGGTGAAATATCGACAATTTCTAACCTTTTTGGATGAGGTATGAAAGGATGAATTATGAAGAGTAATGACGAACGGAAAAATAAAAGCGTCCAGGGATGGGAAACGAACCCACGACCTTCCGCCTACCGGGCAGATGCCATGCTCACCAGGCTACCCTGGACGTATTTTTCTGTTCGTAAATGATACATAAAGTAACTTATAATACAATATAATACACTACGGCATGTAATTGTAAAACGACACTTAGCAATTTTATTCCATTAACAAGGGAAGAGGGAGCTGACTCCTAAAGATGAAGAAAGCTAGATGTGCACAACTGGTGACTGGAACAGACAGGGAACATTCCAAGAATATAAAAACTAATATCATAAATACAACTGAAATAGCTACAGATAGAAAATGACAAGAATAAATGATATTTTTTAATATGAAAAATACCAAAGAAAATGATTAGAAATTAATTTTTCAGTTGATTTTCTGTGTAATAATATTCAAAACTTTATTAATTTTTCCTTTCTGTCTTAACATAATTCCATTTATAATTAGCCAACATAATAAATTTTCTATTATAAAGTTTGTATCTATATATTAAATACACTTTGTACCAGAAAGGGGCACCTCTCCCTTTAAAAGTACATAAAAACAACTATATATATTACATCACACAACACAAATATAAAGGGAGCCTGATACAAGAATCTTCCCACAATGTTGTAAATTATATAAAGTTGTCCAAAAGATAGGTCATTAAATACAAGGTGTAACCTATGGAACAATTTGGTGTCTTATCACCACAATGGGGCTGGCTCATCAGTCCACTATTGTATTGGGTTACTACAATTCATTGAGAGACATAATTACCTTTGAACCCTGATACAATAGTCTGGTACAATCTGGATGGGAGGACTTACCACATTTCCTATAAGTTCATATTGCTGTAATAAAAGTCCTTTTTAGTGGTTAGATCCTTATAGAGCTCATAAATAATTTACATTTGCTTTATATGACATACTTTGAGAAAATATATTTATTGAAATACATTATTAAAATATAAAAAAGGCAGAATTCATCAAAAAATATTTAGTGAATACAACTTTAAAAACTCACTTTCTGGTTTAAATTATATCTGCTAAAACTCGGGGTAATTTAGAACTATAAATAGTTTCAAAATTGATTGATAGATGGCGGTACTAATCCACGTTTCTCTTCCTGTCTAGATAACTTTCTGGTTTTGCTATTGTGAAATTGGATGAAACAAGTAAGTTTATTTTATTTTTCTTTGGCTTTATTTTATAAAATTCTTCGAAATTTTTCTTTAAACCTTGATTATGTGTTTTCTAAACACGCTAAAACCTAAAGAAAATCTATTTATTTATTATGTTAATATTATAAAATTTTAATTTTTTTGTGTGAAGTTTGCAAAATAATTATTCACTAGTTATAAAGATTCCTTGATATAACATTGACTCTTTTTTTGCTACCATAAATTCCAGCCATATTATTTCTAGTTAAATACACAAAGATTTCTAAAAAAAAATGAATATTAAATTGGATATATTATTAAGCTTTAATGAAATATTAAATTTTAAAATATTAAATGAAATATTAAATAAAAATCGTGCAACAAATTGTGGAACACTACCGACTTTTAAACAAAGTAACATAAACAATAATTTATAAATAGTTACAAAAGGTGATGATAGATGGCGATAGGTGTTAGCGTGCTGCGGAAACTACGTTGTAATTATTTTACTTCTGGTTTGCCATTAAGTACATTTAGGTAAGATATTAGTGTTTATATTTATATATATATTTTCCCGGTTTTATAATTTTTAGCTTTTTTAAAATTGAATTTTTGTTTCAATAATTTAAACTATAAAATTTACGTGTACATTTTGAATCAAATTTTCATTTTTATAAACCAACCCTATGGCGAGTAACTAAAACGATTTTATCATAGAAAGTTTAACAATAAATTTTTAAATTTACAAAATTAAAAAGAGCATTTTATATATTTGTGATATTTAGCTAATTATAAATAGAATAAGTGTTATAAATTATTTTAAACAATATAAAATAACGTGTTATATCTTTGTACTTAATTATAGAAACATATAATTAACAGAAATTAATTTTAACCTATTTGAGAGTGTGGCTTACTTTGGGTTGTTTTCTTACAATGTCCTTTTATTTTGACATTTGACATAGTGGATAAAAGTGCCTTAGTAAATTTTGGAACAAAGGAAAAATTAAAAATACTATTATGAAATAGGTGAATAAATTAAACAGGGAGAAAGTGAACTAAGTTTTAGAAAAAATAAAAAAGGCAGAAAATTTTATTTAAAATATCATCTTTTAAAGGTAAAATTTAGTGTTTGTTTACCTTCAAGCTAGCACCCTATTTAGTTAACATTCTAGCTGCTCAATCTTCTTAGACATTCATGTCTTTCCTGTTTTTATTTCAAATAACAAAATGTTACTTTATAAAACAACTCTTTGTTTATTCCAGTAACTAGCAGTTAGGTTTAAATTGGGTCCAGGATGGACAAAAATTGAAGAGAGTTGGTGCCGAGTCTCATTGTAACTTTTATGAATGGTGCACATTAGCTAATTACAGCCATGGTGTTCTGAGAGTTAACCTGTTGTGTTTTTAGTAATAAATTATTTTTTTAAACAAGAATTGTCCATGAAAGTTTGTCAACTTATTGATGGTGTCAAATTGTTGTTTGGTCAAATTAACATTTGTTATTTGACAGGCTTGAGTTGTGGACATGAGAATATGGTAGAATAAATGCAAGTTTCAAATTATCATGTGTTGAATCAACAAGGTTATTTCTAACAATGTTCTTACCATTATTTAGTTCCTACTACTGATTTATTTGTATGGAAGGCTCATTACACCACAAATGATTGTGGCAATTTCTACTTTTAATTCTATTCCAGACCATAGCTGCCATATAGAAGTCTGATATTTAGTACATTTGTGTTGTGTACTTTTGTTTACAAAATTTTAACTTTACATGGTTTGGAAGTACAGTAAAATCCTTCTATAGTGAACCCCAATGGGACAGAGCTTTTGGTTCACTATAGCCACGGTTCGCTATAGCCACGGTTTGGCCATTTTTTTTAGCTTTTCTAAATTTTTAGATTGTATAATTAAAAAACAGCCATACAAATAGGAAAAGGCAGCCACTTAATAATGGTCACTTTGTTTTAATTCCCTAAATTGACCTATTTCTTTACAGTAATGCTGAATATCAAAAGAAGTCATTTGTTAATAGGTTCTTCGTATCATTAGCATACATGTTTATATATAAACCTATGTATTATTTAAAAATTATGCCAAATCCCCTAGGCAAAACATAATTACTTATATATTTAAAAGGTATAAGAGTATTTTAGAACATCTTTCTCAAATAATATAATACTATATTTATTTGAAAAAATGCCTCTAATACCTTGTTGTTTGAAAGTGAAAAGTGATATTTGTAAAAATTGTGAATAAAAAACGCCAATTTGATGACACACAATCGTTAGTAAAACGGCAGGCCAGGGGGAATATCCGCGAACCCTGAATGAATCATATACCTAAAAAGAATTCTATTCTAAAAATAGAACTGTAGTGGTAGTTTTTGAGAATTTATAATTCGATTTTTTGTGACTCATGAGACACGGGTAACTTGGGGGAACTGTTTTTTCTTCTTCTTCTACTTCCAATTCCAGTTTCCATATATTCTTCTGAAGTGTATATTAAATTTTGTTTTTAACCTGTTATTCAAACCATTTCTGGCTTTAAAATTATCAGGAATTATGTTTTAGCCTAGGTTAAACTTGATACAGAACGCTTCTAAAAGGGCATGCTGCCACTGTTTTTTTTTTTTTTTTAGAACGCCACTCTTTGTTTCCTTTTTTTATTTTGGAAGCCATTTGTATTTTTCTTCTATTTCAAAATTGTCGAATGCAAAGATATTCTATTAAATAAAAGTATAATGTGTAAAAATTTATACAACCTATAGCAAAAATAGAATGGAAATGAAAACAAACAATGCCGCTAATTTTTTGTTTTGAAATCGCGATCCGTGAGATGAAACAAGTTCAAAATTTTGTTGTTTTAAAAAATTTTTAAATCACAATTTTAAGTTCGTTATAAACATAATATTTTAAATAGATTTTATCATTTTGGGACCGAAAATAGGTTCATTATAGGGGTAGATCGTTATTTTAAAAATCGAAAAGTTCGTTATAACAATGGTATTTTCAATGGAATGGAATTGAGAATCGCCGTGGGTTCGTTATAAGGGAAGGTTTGCTATATCCAGGGTTCTTATTAGCGGGGTTTTACAGTATATTGAAAATTAATCACAAAATTTTTAAAGATAATAGAAATTGGTCCATTCACGACAACCCAGACCATATTTAATGAACTCCAGCTACTCAATTTGCCAAAGAAATGACTGTGTCTATTTTTGTTATTTTGAAAGGAATTTTTCTTCTCTCGTCCATTCAGAACCATAGTAACCATTAGAAAAAGGCTCCTCTTATTGGAAGGTTGGTAATTAGTATAAATGGTAATTGTTTAATAAAAACTCTCATTTGTAGAGAGGGGAGTCTTCTAGTGAGACTGACCTTTCATGTAGATTCTACTTTAGTAATGTCACCACATTTGGACTCTTTCTTTTTTCTCTCACAAAAATAATAAAATACTTTATTTCTTTGCTACCAAATTTTCTGTTTATACTTGTTCAACTTTTAACTTAGAAATGTTCTCCAACTGTATAGATCATGTTCCAGAACATGGAGAACACCTGCCCATTCCAGGGATGTTCCCAGACCTTCAACAATGTGCTGGAAGCCATTTTGCACAGTACCTTGTGCCAATTTTGTTTGGTGGACTGCCCACAGTCCTGTGGAACAAAAATACAGAGAAAAGATCTGGCATCTCACTTGACTGTAGCCTGCAAACGTCTATTTGGAAGTTGTCAGTTTTGTGGGGCAGTCCTAACTCGGGATTCTCTCCAGCAACATGAGGCTCTGTGTGGACAAATTGGTGTCAGCCCTGGGGAGAGTGTCCACTCTGACAGTAAGAATCCTCAGTCATGTAGTCTGCTGGACCAGGGATGTAGAAACGAGGCAGATGTTTGTTTAAAAGAAAAAGATGAA